CTTCTACACACTACACCTGTAAGTCTCTACCTCCTACACACTACATAATAATTGTTCCTTTTCACATATAATTACAGGGAGTTTGTTGCCAATACCATGGTCCTGAGTTTATACATCTCACCATTTAACATTCCTGATTTCAACACATTTGAAAATAAATGAAGCTAAGTTTGAGGTGATTTTATAGCCCAACATATTAATGCTCCTATAAGGAATCTGATAATTTAATGATAGTATCCCTGAAAGTATCACTGGCATGTTTATTATAGGGCAATAGTTACACATTGGTCTATTGACCAATGACATTCTAGAGATTCTTATCACTGATAGTAATTATAATGTACAGTGGTATCTATGATATAAAAGGAAAATGATATTTTATTCCAAAGCATACTTAATAGTTAACAAGTATCATGAGTTGAAGATAATGAGACAGGAATGTGTAACTTTTGTAGGAAGGAAAACCGCTGGACCTGGTGACACCAAAAATTGATAAAGCCTTGGAAATCTTCAAACGGAAAACCCTACAGTCCAGCTCTGACACTAGTAATGCACAGGTGTCCGAGTCTGACCTGGACAGGAGTACAGACAAACAGGTCAGTAGTTGTTACATATTAAGACCCTACAGTCCAGCACTGACACTAGTATACACAGGTGTCCGAGTCTGACCTGGACAGGAGAACAGACAAACAGGTCAGTAGTTGTTACATATTAAGCCCCTACAGTCCAGCTCTGACACTAGTATACACAGGGGTCCGAGTCTGACCTGGACAGGAGTACAGATAAACAGGTCAGTAGTTGTTACATATTAAGACCCTACAGTCCAGCTATGACACTAGCTAAGACCCTACAGTCCAGCTCTGACACTAGTATGCACAGGTGTCCGAGTCTGACCTGGACAGGAGCACAGACAAACAGGTCAGTAGTTGTTACATATTAAGCCCCTACAGCCCAGCTCTGACACTAGTATACACAGGTGTTCGAGTCTGACCTGGACAGGAGTACAGACAAACAGGTCAGTAGTTGTAACATATTAAGACCATACAGTCCAGCTATGACACTAGCTAAGACCCTACAGTCCAGCTCTGACACTAGTATTACACAGGTGTCCGAGTCTGATCTGGACAGGAGTACAGACAAACAGGTCAGTAGTTGTTACAGAGTAAGACCCTACAGTCCAGCTCTGACACTAGTATTACACAGGTGTCCGAGTCTGATCTGGACAGGAGTACAGACAAACAGGTCAGTAGTTGTTACATATTAAGACCCTACAGTCCAGCTATGACACTAGCTAAGACCCTACAGTCCAGCTCTGACACTAGTATACACAGGTATCTGAGTCTGACCTGGACAGGAGTACAGACAAACAGGTAAGTCACATCTGCATTGATCCACCAGAAAGTTAAACCTCACTCAAAACCTTTAAGGCACACCTAGATATATATAGCTATAAGGCACACCTAGATATATATAGCTAGATATTTTGTTCTTGTGCTGTTCCTAAGGTTCTTTTGATAATCACTTTCTCATACTGACCAACATCAGGTCAGTACGAGAACAAAATTCCCAATAGCATACTTGCCAAATGTTTTTAATTTCCATAGGGGAGATTTTGCCTGTTCAAAATTAAAGTATAAATAAAATGTGTGTATACATCCCCTAGAGACAGTTAACCCTTTAAAATAACATGTTGAGTTGTTCTTTCAGATGAAATTTTAGATCTAAGAATATATAGCAACAGTTCACTGGTTGATAACACTAAATTGTAAGGGGCGAAAATCATGAGTCTCCCTCCTAAAAAGGGAGGGTTGGCAAGTATGAAAAAGGATTTGAAATATGTGTGTTTTAATATCTGTATAGCTTAAAATGACTGTCACTTACCCTGTCACTAACACTCACACACACTATCAAAAACATTGTCTCACACACTGTCACACACAATCTCACAAACAATGTCTCACATGATGTCACGCACAGTCTCATACACTGTCTCACATGATGTCACACACAGTCTCATACACTGTCTCACATGATGTCATGCACAGTCTCATACACTGTCTCACATGTTATCACGCACAGTCTCATACCCTGTCTCACATGATGTTACACACAGTCTCATATACTGTCTCACATTATGTCACGCACAGTCTCATACACTGTCTCACATGATGTCACGCACAGTCTCATACACTGTCTCACAAATTGTCACAAACACTCTCTCACAAATTGTTAGAAACAATGTAATGAACAAATTGCCACAAACACACTGTCACACACACTGTCACTCACAAAAATAAGTCTCTATGTTAATGTCTTCATGTAAGTATTTCATTTAATGTTTTCTCCTTTTTGAATTCTGATGTTTTTTTTTGTTTTGCCAAGAAATCGATTTTTCAGCTACTTTTGAATTTGTACATGGCCTATCAAAATGGTGACCTGGGTGTACAATTTCACCGGCTCGAAACCCTGAGCTGGTAGATATTATGTCCAAGACTAAAATTCTATATATGTACTACAAAAACATAGGATGAGCGAATAGAATTCTTCAAATTCTGCCTACAGGCTAAATTGTACATCCCTAGTGATTAGTGTAAGTTGGGTTAGCTCCCTTTACTCTCTGATCGTGTTTGAATCTTGGATAGTTTTTGTGTCTACCCATAAGTATATCTACAGTAAAGGATGTCAAACTTCACTTCATATGAGCTGAATGAACCTTGTGAGTTTTGTTAAAGATAGGGAGAAATGGAATAGACGTATATATATAACTTTATACCACCTACCAGTAATAAACATATGTAAGATAAAAATTACATGGACAGTCTAGGAAACCTGAGACGAAGTTGAGAATGATTTGAGAATCAATTTCCCCTTTCGGGAATGTTTTTTCTCAAAATTTACAAGATGGTTTCCTTGTTCTTCTTGATTGACAACACAAGGTGGACCTTTTTTTCTGTGGGTCAATGATCAAATTAATTACGAGACAGTAAATGAAAGGGTCTACTGATAGCCCTGTTTTAATTTAATTGAACCACTGTTTGGCCAAAACAATTCAACAACATTTGAAAGGTTGTGTAACAATCTGTGAAAAAGAAAACAATTCAGAGACAGTTAGGGTCTGAATCGTGAAGAAATCACTTTAAAATGGCAAAACAAAATTGGAACAGTGAATGAAGAGAATATTCTATCTTTATAAAATTCCCTGGTAATTTGACAGTTGTTGGTGATCCTCCAGGTAAACCTTGTGTAAACCTTGTTTGTTTATGTTGTGGCATTTGGAGAATCTCAAGGATCATATAACAAGTTGGTTGAAAGGTGCCGTATGGGATTTAGTAAAGTGTCTGTTATTGGTGGGCTATAAATAGACAAGTTGGTTGAAAGGTGCCGTATGGGATTTAGTAAAGTGTCTGTGATTGGTGAGCTATAAATAGACATGTTGGTTGAAAGGTGCCGTCTGGGATTTAGTAAAGTGTCTGTGATTGGTGAGCTATAAATAGACACATTGGTTGAAAGGTGCCGTATGGGATTTAGTAAAGTGTCTGTTATTGGTGGGCTATAAATAGACAAGTTGGTTGAAAGGTGCTGTATGGGATTTAGTAAAGTGTCTGTGATTGGTGAGCTATAAATAGACATGTTGGTTGAAAGGTGCCGTCTGGGATTTAGTAAAGTGTCTGTGATTGGTGAGCTATAAATAGACATGTTGGTTGAAAGGTGCCGTCTGGGATTTAGTAAAGTGTCTGTGATTGGTGAGCTATAAATAGACATGTTGGTTGAAAGGTGCCGTCTGGGATTTAGTAAAGTGTCTGTGATTGGTGAGCTATAAATAGACATGTTGGTTGAAAGGTGCCGTCTGGGATTTAGTAAAGTGTCTGTGATTGGTGAGCTATAAATAGACATGTTGGTTTAAAGGTGCCGTATGGGATTTAGTTAAGTGTCTGTGATTGGTGGGCTATAAATAGACAATTTGGTTGAAAGGTGCCGTATTGGATTTAATAAAGTGTCTGTGATTGGTGGGCTATAAATAGACAATTTGGTTGAAAGGTGCCGTATTGGATTTAATAAAGTTTCTGTGATTGGTGGGCTATAAATAGACAAGATGGTTGAAAGGTGCCGTATGGGATTTAGTAAAGTGTCTGTGATTGGTGAGCTATAAATAGACATGTTGGTTTAAAGGTGCCGTATGGGATTTAGTTAAGTGTCTGTGATTGGTGGGCTATAAATAGACAAGTTTGTTGAAAGGTGCCGTATTGGATTTAATAAAGTGTCTGTGATTGGTGGGCTATAAATAGACAAGTTGGTTGAAAGGTGCCGTATGGGATTTAGTAAAGTGTCTGTGATTGGTGAGCTATAAATAGACATGTTGGTTGAAAGGTGCCGTCTGGGATTTAGTAAAGTGTCTGTGATTGGTGGGCTATAAATAGACAAGTTGGTTGAAAGGTGCTGTATGGGATTTAGTAAAGTGTCTGTGATTGGTGAGCTATAAATAGACACATTGGTTGAAAGGTGCCGTATGGGATTTAGTAAAGTGTCTGTTATTGGTGGGCTATAAATAGACAAGTTGGTTGAAAGGTGCCGTATTGGATTTAATAAAGTGTCTGTGATTGGTGGGCTATAAATAGACAAGTTGGTTGAAAGGTGCCGTATTGGATTTAATAAAGTTTCTGTGATTGGTGGGCTATAAATAGACAAGTTGGTTGAAAGGTGCCGTATGGGATTTAGTAAAGTGTCTGTGATTGGTGGGCTATAAATAGACAAGTTGGTTGAAAGGTGATGTATGGGATTTAGTAAAGTGTCTGTGATTGGTGGGCTATAAATAGACAAGTTGGTTGAAAGGTGCCGTATGGGATTTAGTAAAGTGTCTGTTATTGGTGGGCTATAAATAGACAAGTTGGCTGAAAGGTGCCATATGGGATTTAGTAAAGTGTCTGATTGGTGGGCTATAAATAGACAAGTTGGTTGAAAGTTGCGGTATGGGATATAGTTAAGTGTCTGTGATTGGTGAGCTATAAATAAACTCAGTTATTTCAATCTTTGACCTAAATATATTATGTGTTTATTTAGCTCACCTGCCCCGGTGCGGCGTCCGTTGTCAGGGTACTGATATTTGACCATTAGCATGCTGGGATGAAGGGCTACCAAGTTTGTTCAAATGAATGACCTTGACCCACTTTCAAGGTCACAGGGGTCAAATGTCTTACAATCTTCAAACAGCTTCTTTTCAATAACTAAAAGGCCCAGGGTACTGATATTGGGCCTGTAGCATGCTGGGATGAAGGGCTACAAAGTTTGTTCAATTGAATGACCTTGACCCACTTTCAAGGTCACAGGGGTCAGATGTCTTAAAATCTTCAAACAACTTCTTCTGAATAACCAAAAGGCCCAGGGTACTGATATTGGGCCTGTAGCATGCTGGGATGAAGGGCTACCAAGTTTGTTGAAATGAATTACGTCGACTCACTTTCAAGGTCACAGGGGTCAAATGTCGTAAAATCTTCAAATGACCTCTTCTGAATAACCAAAAGGCAGAGGGTACTGATATTGGGTTTGTGGCATGCTGGGTTGAAGGGCTACCAAGTTTGTTCAAATAAATGACCTTGACCCACTTTCAAGGTCACATTGGTCAAATGTCGTAAAATCTTCAAACAACTTCTTCTCAATAACCAAAAGGCCAAGGGTACTAAAATTAGGCCTGTAGCATGCTGGGATGAAGGGCTACCACTTTTGTTTAAATGAATGACCTTTTCCCACTTTCAACCTAATGTCCTTGTTCAACATTCAAGGTCACAGGCGTCATATGTTTAAATCTTTTAATAGGTTCTTATGAATCAAACACTGATTTTCTGCCTGTAGCCGTTATTTAGTCCACTATTAAGATTACAAGTGTGAGATTAATACCAGGTGAGCGATCCAGGCCCATTAGGCCTCTTGTTTATATATATATACATATACATGATGGTTCATTTTTCCTGCAAAATAAATCTTTCAGACACATTAAGATGAAAATGTTTTAAATAGGATTTTCTTGTCTGATTGCAGAACATCAGCGGAGTGTCGGAACAAAATCGACGCCTCAGGATCTTAGAACAACAGATTGCAAACCTGCTACAGCCGTCTAGGTCAAAGGTCAGTGTAACATTGTTATACAGTCAAACTACTCTAAACATGATGTCATACTGTCTGTAAATGTCAGAAAATAAACAATATAAAGAATATTCAGATGTCCAGTAAAATTGGTCCTGAAGGAATGTCATAGAAAACAGTATGTCTATGACTGACAGAAAAATGTAGGAATGTTGACATAAATATAACCTTAAGGCTTGGAACGGAAATTCTTCCAAAATCGTGAGTACTTGTACGCAATTAACGATGCTTTAAATTATTATTTGTTTTATTAGATTTTTTTTTTTTCCATGTGTAGCCAAACTGAATATCTGTCATAACTGGTATGAAAATATCAGTCTCCTGAAAATAATATATAATTTGTGTGGGTACTTGAATTTTGTGAATACTTAATTTTTGTGAATAATCAAAAAAAACAATTGATGTTTTTGCATACAAACTATTTTTTTGTAAATATGTTAGGTTTATGGCTTAATTTTTAGGATTTTTTGTAAATAAATAGTTTTCCTGATTTTCGCTTTAAGCAATACTTTCCTGAGGGTTTGAATTCTGCAGTTTATTTTACTTCTTGGTGTTGTGATAAAATGAACAGTTCGCAGCATCTATTTATTTGTAAATCTGTGCTAAAATTTATCATCTGTTGGTAAAATATCAATATATTGCATGTCAATGACAACTTAAAACATAGTTCCTCTTTTTATCAATTACTTTTTCAAGATGATAAAAATGATCTGTTTTATCATTTTCAGGCTGTATATGATGAGCAGAGCAGTTCCCCTGGGTCTGTCACTAAACTTGTGGCTGAGAGAGGTAAGCTTAAGGTTTACAATCCTGTGGCCGGGAGGTAAAATAGAGACATACAGTAAAACCCCGCTGACTCCAACACGTCGGGTACAGGTCACAATCAGTAGTAGTTGAAGGAATACATGGCATTGGAGGACTCCAACACGTCGGGTACAGGTCACAATCAGTAGTAGTGGAAGGAATACATGGTATTGGAGGACTCCAACACGTCGGGTACAGGTCAAAATCAGTAGTTGTTGAAGGAATACATTGTATTGGAGGACTCCAACACGTCGGGTACAGGTCACAACCAGTAGTAGTTGAAGGAATACATGGCATTGGAGGACTCCAACACGTCGGGTACAGGTCACAACCAGTAGTAGTTGAAGGAATACATGGCATTGGAGGACTCCAACACGTCGGGTACAGGTCACAACCAGTAGTAGTTGAAGGAATACATGGCATTGGAGGACTCCAACACGTCGGGTACAGGTTACAACCAGTAGTAGTTGAAGGAATACATGGTATTGTAGGACTCCAACACGTCGGGTACAGGTCACAATCAGTAGTAGTGGAAGGAATACATGGTATTGGAGGACTCCAACACGTCAGGTACAGGTCACAATCAGTAGTAGTTGAAGGAATTCATGGTATTGGAGGACTCCAACACGTCGGGGACAGGTCACAATTAGTAGTAGTTGAAGGAATACATGGTATTGGAGGACTCCAGCACGTCGGGTACAGGTCACAATCAGTAGTAGTTGAAGGAATTCATGGGATTGGAGGACTCCAACACGTCGGGTACAGGTCACAACCAGTAGTAGTTGAAGGAATACATGGTATTGGAGGACTCCAGGGATGACTCATGGTGGGATGACAGACAGAACGAGCACAGCAAACATTGCGGATAGTAGATAATAGAAGTAAAGAAGGGAAAAACACAATGATAAAATTCTCAAGAAACTTAATAAAGCTCCTTAGATGGTAACTGCCAATTTCAACCATGTACTTAAAAAAGCCCACCATCATCAGATGGTGGGCTATTCAAATTGCCTTTTGTCTGCAGTCCGCTGTCCGTCCACCTTTCCATCGCTTTGTTCTGTCCATCCTTAAACAATTCTTTTCAGCACTGTTTCTTAGAAAGTGACAGAGAGATCTTCTTCAAACTTCACATGTTGGTTCCCAATGGTCCTTTGTTGTACATATCAAATTTTGGGACAGATCAGAAAACCAAGATGACCGACAGGCACCATCTTGAACTATGAGAGTTAAAGGTTGTAAACGGTTTTTCTCAGAAATTACTGGAGGGATCTTTCTCCAATTTGATGTGTAGGTTCCCCTTGGACATTAATTGTGCATGTTTTCTTTTGTGACTGATAGAATAAACAAAATGGTCAACAAACAAAATAGTCAACAAGTGGCTGTGTTGGATTTTGACAGTTATTGGTAATTCTGTGACAGGACTTGAGGGGCATCTTTCTCATTTGATATGAAGGTTCCCCTTAGTTAATGTGCATGTTTTGAGAGTGATCATAATACAAGATGGCAGCAGGAAGCACTTGGACATCTTTCTCATTTGATATGAAGGTTCCCCTTAGTTAATGTTTTATTTTGAGAGTGATCATAAAACAAGATGGCAGCAGGAAGAACTTGGACATCTTTGTCATATTGCAATGATCGGTTCTATTTCTTTCACATTAACTACTGTACTAGTAAATATATAAAAGGACAAACTCACTTTGAAGGTTATATCTTATACACAGCAGTATAGTAAACTCACTTTTATACACAGCAGTATAGTAAATTTATATCAAAAGTTACTTCATGGTGCATTTACTGTTAACATGACTCGATCAAACAGAAAAGTTACCTCAAGATGAATTTACCGTTAACCTGACTCGATCAAACAGAAAAGGTACCTCAAGGTGCATTTACTGTTAACCTGACTCGATCAAACAGAAAAGTTACCTCAAGGTGCATTTACTGTTAACATGACTCGATCAAACAGATTAGAGAGAAGAAGAGAAAAGATCAAACTGACAAAGAACTAATGAAGATGGTACAATGGTGGGCGCCAAGATCCCTCTGAGATATCTTGTTATATTTTTGACACCAATAAATAGCTTGCGATGTGTCATTTCTTGATGACAGAAAATAATACAGTGCACGGAGACAGACTTTTGATATGTTGTTGGTGTTTCAGTGCTAATTGTGGAAACATTTTAAACGAAATGGTTGTAATCAAAGTATATAATTCAAAAAAATAATGGATCACATCCTGATATTTTCAAAGTTTCTTTCTTCATTGTTACTAAAGAAGTTGTCCACCTATGCCCCTATTAGCCTTTCAACTTCTCGTCTTACTAAAACAAACTATCACATTGGCCACTGTTACTTTTGGACAACCCTAGACAATGAAATACACAAACTCACAAAATGAGTCAAAATGTGGCACATGTCATGCAAAAGTTGAAACTGTTACATACCTTTGAGAATTTGCCAACATTTTTTTTGAAATCTCAAACTTATATACCTGAACTTAAAATACAATATTTCATTTTCTATTTCCATTGATTAATCAGATGTTCGTCAGACTGATGAAAGTGATGATGCAGGGTCAGGAAACTCTCAACATGATAAAAAAAGCAAAGGTCGCAAGGGCAAAAGGTCACGAAGGTCACGCATCCCCAGCTATTGTAAAACCACAGCATCCTCCCGAGCTAAAGTGGAACCCCCAGAAACATCCAGGTAATTAGAAGGTTTCTATAAAGAGACTTATTTACTATGACCATCAGGTCTAGCGGGTATGGTTTTTTATACTCCCATATATCCACTGTCCAGTTTGAGTGTTCAACAGAGTTCTAACACTCATGGGCAGATTGGTTGAGTGGTTTACACTTCAGCCTTTCACACAGACGGCCAGGGTTTGATCCACGAAGTCGTCGTACACATGGAATATCAGAGAAAGTGTTTTTCTCTTGCCCACACAATTCCGACAACCCAGGTGGAGTATAAAATGGTCTGGGGTGGATGTTGCGGTATCTGTACTGTTGCATTCAAGTGAGGTGGCACTATAAAAGATGCCGTTGGAAGCACGGTCCCACTACAAAACAGAACACAATACATCTCCAGCACACACGCAGGCATACACACATAGGGAGATATTAGCAAGGTGGCATAGGACTAGTAGTTAGCTCCTGCGAATTCCTCAAAATTGAATTAATTAATGTATATGCTAATTGTATTAATTGTATATCTATGTACTGTAAAGCGCTTTAGAGTGGCTTATGTTAGCTAGATAAGGTGCTATATTAAATGTTGTATACTATTTTATTTTATTACTCACGTGTCCGGTATCAGTGTTCAACTGAGTCCTTACACTCACATGTCCAGTATAAGTGTTCAACTGAGTCCTTACACTCACATGTCCAGTTTGAGTGTTCGACTGAGTTCTTACACTCACCTGTCCAGTATGAGTGTTCAACTGATTTCTTTCACTCACATGTTCAGTATAAGTGTTCAACTGAGTTCTTACACTCATAAGTCCAGTATGAGTGTTCAACTGATTTCTTACATTCACATGTCCAATATAAGTGTTCAACTGAGTTCTTACACTCATATGTCCAGTATAAGTGTTCAACTGAGTTCTTACACTGATCATGTGTCCAGTATAAGTGTTCAACTGAGTTTTTACACTAACATGTCCAGTATGAGTGTTCAACTGAGTTCTTACACTCACATGTCCAATATAAGTGTTCAACTGAGTTATTTCACTGATCATGTGTCCAGTATAAGTGTTCAACTGAGTTATTTCACTGATCATGTGTCCAGTATAAGTGTTCAACTGAGTTCTTACACTCACATGTCCAGTTTGAGTGTTCGACTGAGTTCTTACACTCACATGTCCAGTATAAGTGTTCAAATGAGTTTTTACACTCATGTGTCCAGTATGAGTGTTCAACTGAGTTCTTACACTCACATGTCCAGAATAGGTGTTCAACTGAGTTCTTACAGTTATACTGGACATGTAAGTATGATTGTTCAACTGAGTTCTTACACTCACATGTCCAGTATGAGTGTTCAACTGAGTTCTTACACTCACATGTCCAGAAAAGGTGTTCAACTGAGTTCTTACTCAGTGAGTGTAAGAACTCAGTTGAACACTCATACTGGACATGTGAGTGTAAGAACTCAGTTGAACAATCATACTTACATGTCCAGTATAACTGTAAGAACTCAGTTGAACACCTATTCTGGACATGTGAGTGTAAGAACTCAGTTGAACACTCATACTGGACACATGAGTGTAAAAACTCATTTGAACACTTATACTGGACATGTGAGTGTAAGAACTCAGTCGAACACTCAAACTGGACATGTGAGTGTAAGAACTCAGTTGAACACTTATACTGGACACATGATCAGTGAAATAACTCAGTTGAACACTTATACTGGACACATGATCAGTGAAATAACTCAGTTGAACACTTATATTGGACATGTGAGTGTAAGAACTCAGTTGAACACTCATACTGGACATGTTAGTGTAAAAACTCAGTTGAACACTTATACTGGACACATGATCAGTGTAAGAACTCAGTTGAACACTTATACTGGACATATGAGTGTAAGAACTCAGTTGAACACTTATATTGGACATGTGAATGTAAGAAATCAGTTGAACACTCATACTGGACTTATGAGTGTAAGAACTCAGTTGAACACTTATACTGAACATGTGAGTGAAAGAAATCAGTTGAACACTTATACTGAACATGTGAGTGTAAGGACTCAGTTGAACACTTATACTGGACATGTGAGTGTAAGAACTCAGTTGAACACTCATACTGGACATGTGAGTGTAAGAACTCAGTTGAACACTTTTACCGGACATGTGAGTAATAAAATAAAATAGTATACAACATTTAATATAGCACCTTATCTAGCTAACATAAGCCACTCTAAAGCGCTTTACAGTACATAGATATACAATTAATACAATTAGCATATACATTAATAAATTCAATTTTGAGGAATTCGCAGGAGCT